TTACATTCGAAGCTTTTGAAAACTGTAAATTATATTATACCCCAAAGCCATAAAAATTATGAAAAATTTTCGAAGATAAGGCATAATATACGATAATTCAAACATAAGCACACTCCATCGATTATTAACCTAAAATTTAATCAACTTACTTTATGACGTTTGGTTACGCATTCAGTGTAGTAGTTGCTGTAAAATAATCAAAATAAGTAAAAAACATTGTGTCACATCGGTCTTCCTATCGCGTTGAAACCATTGATTTATATGTTACACTAGATAAGTAATTTCCGCGCCAAAGCGTTGTCACTTCACATAAGGCCACAGCCTTATACTCAGCGAACGTCGGTTCAGTGTTCAAGGTGACGCCGTCCGAGTTAAGCCGAACGATTCACAACAAAAAATGGGTAAATGCGTAGTGAAAGAATGCGTTTCAAGGTCACAAAAACATAATAAATCAAGCGGAATCACTTTCCATACGTAAGTTTTAATTTATATATTCATATTAACGTTTAAAACACTAAAAAATTAAATAAAATATCGAATATTGCAATTTAGGTTCAATGTTGCCACTTTTCCGCCTTTGTGATTTTTCCACATTAATGGGAGACTGTATAATTTATGGAATAAGTTAATTTTGTTTTAAAATAAACAAGTAAAATTGATTGCTTAAAAATAAAAACTATGTTTCAACCTTTATACAAAATAATTATTCTTATTTTATTTTATTCATGAATTATCTATTAAATATATTTTACTACCTTATATCTTATATTAATAATTTTATATTAATTAAAATTTCATATAAATTTTATATTAATTATATTTCACTACCTATTTTATATTACTTGATTTATTAGTACAGTAAAAAATATTTATAAAAATATGTTTTATTTCATCATTATGTACTTCTAACTCATCTGATAAGCTTTGTATTCTTTTTTTCTAAGGGGACGCAATAAAGATTTTAAAATAAAATATACTTTCTTAATATAAAAACAATTAACTGAAGCTTAAAAAAAACTCATTTTTATTGCGTATTTTAGGTAAAATTTTATATAGTAAGCCACACCAACCCGCCATTGCATGTTTGTGTGTCTATCTTTATCTAATTTTAGCGACGATATTGTTTACGTAACTTGTGTAAGTGAGATAGATATATGTTTATTTAAAATTGTTATTAGTTTCAAAGCTACGTCGTCGCGTTTGGATAGTGGTTACACATTTTTCGACGCGCGGTAATGTGGTTTGCTCCTCTAGTGTTGTATAACTCAATGGTTGAAACCGTTGACAAATTGGAAAATAAACTATAATAACAATTCGCCAATCCACATTATTGTCTATAGTGGATCAGCACACGCACATTACTAGCTCGTCACAAGATACAGCGGCCGTACTACGCAATATATCCGCATAAATAAAGTATTGTTTTGTGATATTTACATTGCTTGTTGAGTCACTTGGCGTCATACTTAGGTAGTGGTTATGGATGTGGTATTTACTGTAAAAATATTACAGTGGCTGTGATATTTGGAAACAAAAAAACGTAGTAAGAGAAATAAATATTTTACGATGTTTAAAGACATTTATTCTCATAAAGACATTTTATACGCCACTTACATGAGAACATAAATAAAAGTAAATCTAACTAACAAAATTCATTGTCGTACCTATGTTGTTGAAAAATAAATAACATCAAAAACAGCTATTGACGGGAAAAATCTATACAAATAAAAGAAAAGTTAAATTCTACTATACACTATCACCTTATCACCACAATAATAACCAGGAACAAACCAGTCCAACGCACTCAGATAGATATGTTTGTGATTATATGATTTGCTAGTCGCTTTTTGAATACATTGAACGAGTCTACATTTTTTATTTCCGAGGGTATCTTATTAAAAAAGGCGCGAACCTTCGCATGTAATTGTGGTCTGGCCGTACTTTGTTCGAGTTTTAGGCAAAACAATGAAGCTTGCGCGTCGAGTGCAGATGCGCCCAACTTTTTTTCGCTTGGTGAATTGCAGATCCGTGCGGACCTTCTTGTTCATGGATTTGCGAATAAAGATACATGTGCTGTAAATGTATAATTGTTTGATATTCATCAGATTCGTCTCTCGGAAAATTTTTGAAGTTGACGTTCGGAAATTGTAGTTGAATAGCATTTTTATGATTTTATTTTGTAGGATTTGTAATTTGTTTAATCTAGTACTGGCAGCGCTTCCCCAGACCTCGATGAGATATAACAGGTGTGGTTTAACGAGGGCATTATATATTGTGAAACGTAGTTTCTGTGGTATGTATCGAAAATTAATCCGAAGTAAGGCGTGAAGTGACATTAATTTGGTTATTAAATATTTAATGTGAACTTTCCATGTTAAATAGGTATCCAAATGAAGGCCAAGATATTTTTCATTAGTTTCTTCTTGCAATGGTGTATTGTTTATTTTAAGAGGTGTGAAATTAGGTATAGGTTTATTTTTTGCTTTAAATATTATGTAGCTAGTTTTGGAAATGTTGATAGTTAATAAATTGTATTGTAACCAATCGTGAAGAATGTCAAGGTCCTGCTGGGCTTGAGAGACAAGATCATGAATTGAAGGGCCAAAGTAGAAAAGGCAAGTGTCATCAGCGTAAAGTGTGATATTGCCATTCAAGCCCAACTCATGCATATTGTTAATATAGACTAAAAAGAGCAGAGGACCCAATATTGAACCTTGTGGAACTCCATAGGTTATGGGTTGTGGGGGACTTTGAGTGCTATTGCCTATTTTAACGACCTGGGATCTATTCGTGAGGTAAGACTCAAACATTTTTAAGGCTGTGCCAGTAATACCAATGACTTCCAGTTTTTTTAAGAGCAGTTTATGACTTACGGTGTCAAATGCCTTTTTCAAATCGATGAATACTCCTAGTACGATGTTTTTTTTATCAATGTTTTGTTTGATTTTAGTTACCAGATCAATTGTAGCTGTGAGTGTATTACTTTTAGAACGAAATCCGTACTGTCTTTCAAAAAAGAAATCTATAGAATCTAAGTAGTTTTGTAGCCGTGTATGCAAGACATTTTCGAGAATTTTTGATAATACTGGCAGTACGGAAATTGGTCGATAGTTGCCCGGTTCTGTTTTTTGGTCCCGATTTGTAAATAGGTGTTACTTTGGCTATTTTAAGTGAGTCTGGAAATGATCCGTTTTGTAAAAGTTTGTTAAAGTTTTTCGTTAATGAACTTATTATTAAGTCCTTCACACACTTGATAACCTTTGTACTAATACCATCTAGACCGACACTACTGTTTGAATCAAGTTTGTTAATAATATTAAGAATTTCTTCTTCAGTGCATGGGTCTAAATTATTCATTTGCAAATTTTGTAAAAGTGGTTTTGGTAGTGCGTGAGTATAATTTACATGGAACTGAATAGGTATTTCTTCAGCTAAATATGGCCCTATAGTAGCGAAAAAGTTATTAAATATATTGCATATCTCATGAGGATCAGTAATTTCTATTGAATTAACAATAAGTTTAGGAGGAGCGCATCTTTGTTTAAATTTATTATTTGTTAGGGTATTGAGTAAATTCCATAGCTTTTTGGGTTTTCCACTGTATTTGTCGAATTCCTTCTTATAATATGACTTCTTTGTTTCCCGTATTAACTTGATTATTTTATGTCTTTTGGTGATAAACTTTTCTTTCAGGTCTTCTCTTTCTGGGTTGTTCTGTAGTTCTGTCCACATCAAGTTTCTTTCATTGATCTCTGTTATGATACTTTTGTTTATCCATTCTTTTTGTGGTTCATTCATAATTTTTGTCTTTATTACTTTGCTTTCTTCCATACATTTTTTTATTAGTTTTTCCAGTCTTGTGAAGTCATCGTTGGATTCTTGTATTCCTGCTTTCTCCATTGATTTATGAAGTTCTTTATAATTTATTGCTTCGTATTGATAATATTTTCTTGGGGGCGGTTTTGTTTTCTTGATTTCCACGTAAAGCTGTCTATGATCAGAAAAAGATGAGTTGACATATACCATATGAAAGTTTTCTTCCTTTAAGTTGGTGCTTACATGATCTAGGATAGACTTTTTTGTATGTCCTTGTCTGGTGTAATATTTTTTTGTGATTTTATTTATGATCTTGTATCCAGTCTGTTTTAGCAGATGACTGTATCTTTTGGTCTCTGAATTTTTTGTGAGTAAGTCAACGTTAAAGTCACCAAAAACTATTGCTCTGCTTCTTTCTTGTAATTGTGATTCGTATACTTCAAGAAATTGCTTGAAATTAGTGTGTCCAGGATTATATACCACTCCTACTTCAAGTGCATATTTTTGTAGTTTTATCCACAGATTGCCTCCTACATATTTTGACTCTGATAAACTGTGCTTCAGGTTATTGTGGACATAAGCAGATACCCCTCCTCCACCAGCATCTGTTCTGTAGTTATAATAATGAAAGTAATTCGGTAGTTGAAGTTGTAATGCTTGTTCCTCGTTGCGAATCCAAGTTTCAGTTATCAGTATGATGTGCACATTATTTGGTATTGCTTGTAATACACACTTGAGTTCATCGAGTTTTCCCACTTTACGTATACTTCGAGCGTTGAGGTAGAGAAAGGTAAAGCGTGATTTGTTGATTATAAAATTTTGGTAACTGTTTAATATTTCATAAGTGTTGTTTTTGATACAAATGTTTATTTCTGTGTTTACTGTGTGGAGTTTTTTGATGTTTTTATGATTAACGGTGTTCCATTAACATATTTAATTGTAAGGTTAGTCTCACCATTATCTTGTCGTCGCTTTAATTCTTCTCTTAATTTTATCAAAAAGTTTTGTTGAGTTGGTGTTTGGTCTGAGAACATTTTTAGACCATCTTGTAGCTTACTTCTGTTGCGGAGTAGTATTTTGGCATGTTCTATTGTTTCGAAGCACACCTTGATACTGCGGTTCTTGCCGGGTTGGAGTTTGCCGATCCTGAAAATTTTTGTCGGTTTTGGAATGCCTGCACTCACCGAGGATATAGTTTTGAATACCTCAGCTTCGTCTTTTGACAATCTGTCTTCAGGAGTAGACGCAATTTGTTCAGGTAAGCCGACAAGCACGATATTTTTTTCTCTATTTTTGCGTTGCTGAATCTCCTGTATAATTTGTTCGCCGAGTATCAACTCGTTTTCCAGCGTTATTGGTGCAGATTTTGAGGAAATTTTGAGTTTGTTTAAGTCTGATTCAAGTGATTCCATTTTTACTTGCATTGCGCTATGAGATCGCTCGTTCGTCAATTTAATATCAGCAATTTGGTTTTTTATATCAGTAATATTTTCTTGCATGGTTTTTAAAATCAGCTCATTAGACACGATGTATTTTTCTAATAGAGAACTGATACGACTTAGTTCAGATCTCATTCCCCCTAATTCTTCAGAGCATGCACATTCGACACCAAAAGGCAATTTTCGTTTCCGAAATGTAATTGATGAATCCGACACTAAATCGCTCATTTTAGATATATCTGGTTGCGACCCTCCAGTTGGTGACCTCTGAACGCTCATATTGCTTGCGTTACGTTAACCGACACACCGATTCTACGTATTGAGTAAGCGAGTTAAAAAATAGCAACCGTACGTGTCTCGCGGAGGTGAAGACGGCTCACTGTTATTGTAGCGGGGGTCCTCTTTGTTGATGCACAGGAGTGTAATGTCACATTAAACAAACAACTTTCACACAATTAAACGTTTTAAGTCTTCTTGGTTAAGGATGGAATTAGACTTGCACTGATTTAGAAAATATTTAGAATTTACTTGTACACGTCTACTCAGTACGACAACGAATACATATTCCGTTTATTCGAATACGATTTGTTGTTTAATATGATTTTAAAGATAAATATAATGAAATACTTGTTCTTAGGTATGATATGTGATTCCATGATTAACAAAGTTTTTGTTTTGGCTTCGGTTTTTACAAGAAACCACTGAACAACATGGCATTCTGATAATATTTCACGAAGACGGTCGCAAGCGCACTAATTCGCAAAGACGGCCATTTGTATAGATAGAAGCTGAGCGTTTTAATCATAGCGCGCGGACACAAACACGCCACCTTGCCACTTCTCCTCTTTTTAATATTGCTATGGTTTATACCGACCAATAATAACACTAAATACTAATATCAAACACGTAATCGACATAGCCATAATGCCTTTGGCTGCTAGCATGGTATTCCTTCAATTGCTTAGTTTTCATTTTTTCCGTGACCAAGCTACAATATTTTTTATCAGGGTTACTCTCCGCTCTCTATTTTATTATCGTCAGCGCTTCTTGAGTAAACTCTGTTCGACTATTGATGGTACTGTACCACTTAGTCAATGTCCGTGGTGTAGGCAAAGGTGTTATAAAAGTTTTACGTCCATAGCGACAGGCTTTTTGTTAATAATTGAGTGTTAGGGCGAAACATCTTAACTCTGTGTGAATATTTAGTTCTGGGCCGTTTTCCAGTCAATCTTACTTTTAAGGAATTATCTATCATCAAAAATGTCTCTGTCAGCGAATCTAAAATTTCTTGCAAACTCATAACTTTGTTCTTTAAATACCGCTACTGCGATTGAAGCTTTTTATGCTATTGATTTTTATTTCGAGGAGTTTTTTAGTTTAATTTTCCTTGATGTATAGTCTGTTCGCTTAGATAAAGTCACTTTTGTTTGCTGTACCAACGCTTAGATAGTCACTTTGTCAAAAGTCACATTAAAAGTCATGTTGTAAAGCACCCGAACCAAAAAGCCAAAATTAAACGCAATAAAATCCGTACGATAAATTTCTTTAATGTGTTCGCGTAAACATAATGTGACGGCCCGGCGACTATATTATTATTAATAATTAAATTCAATATTAAAGGGGCGTCAAAAATAGTCTTAAAAGATATATATTAAGCAATTAAGTTAAATTAATAAACATAAAGTTAATATATTTCAGACATTATCCCAATAACATAGTAAATTAAAGGCAAAATTATTGTTTTTCGTAATAAATAAATTTATTTAAAAACTTGAAAAAATATTTAAAATAAGATAAATAATAGAAATACAAGTCAAAAAAATATTATAAAAATTAAGTTAAATAACGTTTATAAGATAATTAGAAAATTTGTTAAAAATTGTTTAAGTCATGGGAGGTGTTCGTGTATAAAAGAAAATTTTTCTAAGTTGTGGAAAGAGTTCACGTATAGATGAAATTTCCTAAGTTGTTGAAGGAGTTCATGTATTAAAGAAAATTTTCCTAAGTTATGGAAGGTGTTCACGTATAGATGTCTTGTATGGAGGAAGCTGTCGGAGGTACATACCTGCAGTTGTACATATATATGGGGTGGTCGGGAGCCCGACTGCCTGAAGTACTGTAGCACAATGACTAGTCCTATATTAGGGACTTATGATATTAAACTCAATGATACAAAAGCAATACTATAGAAGGTCTCCATGATGAATTTGCATTACAATAGTAGGGTCGTGGGTTCGAACCCTATATATTAATGACTTATGAAAGTAAGGTCTATGATCCAAAAGCAATACTATAGAAGGTCTCTATGATTAATATGCATTACAATAGTAGGGTCGTGGGTTCGAATCCTATATATGAATGACTTATGAAAGTAAGGTCTATGATACAAAAGCAATACTATAGAAGGTCTCTATGATTAATATGCATTACAATAGTAGGGTCGTGGGTTCGAATCCTATATATACATGACTTATGAAAGTAAGGTCTATGATACAAAAGCAATATTATAGGAGGTCTCCTTGATGCATAAGCATTGTATGGGGTGGTCGGGTGACTGACTGCTCCTAGTACTGTAGCAAAATGACTAGTCCTTATTAGGGACTTGAAAAGGAATATTATGGTGGCGTGTGTGCTGCTTCACGAGCAATTGGTCCGAGGTAAACTTGGACTCGCTAACCGATGTGTCCTAGACATATCATCTTAGTGCCGGTGGTAAGCGGGTTTGTTGTAGCAATACGGCTTTCCCGTGGACATCGCACACCCATACCGTTTGTGGGCGATGTCGTTGCACATAGCGATGTGTCGTCTATCTTTCGGATGGGGATGATGAGTGTGTATGGTAGCACTTTTAAGTGTAACAGGCATACTCAACTTCATGTCTTAGTGCATTAGCGCTATGATACGTGGAGTTTTGTCCACTGGCGTCTTAGTAGTGTGCTACTATGATACGTTGGTGATATTTTTTATATAACAACAATACAAACTTTGTTACCAAAGTCGATAGGAGTCATGTGGGTGTGTTGTGAGGGGGCGCCACCCGTATGATAGTTGCATTGATGCTTACTGCTACTTGCGGTATTGCGTCTTGTGATGGATCTGCGGGTGTGCTGCGCCTGATTCGACGCATTCTTGTGGTTCTGGTCGATGGAGGTATACAATTAACATCTTAGTGCTGGTGGTAAGCGGGTTTGTTGTAGCAATACGGCTTTCCCGTGGACATCGCACACCCATACCGTTTGTGGGCGACGTCGTTGCGCATAGCGATGTGTCGTCTATCTTTCGGATTGGGATGATGAGTGTGTTTGGTAGCACTTTTAAGTGTAACAGTCATACTCTACTTCATGTCTTAGTGCATTAGCGCTATGATACGTGGAGTTTTGTCCATTGGCGTCTTAGTAGCGTGCTACTATGATACGTTGGTGATATTTTTTATATAACAACAATACCAACTTTGTTACCAAAGTCGATAGGAATCATGTGGGTGTGTTGTGAGGGGGCGCCATCCGTATGATAGTTGCTTTGATGCTTACTGCTACTTGCGGTATTGCGTCTTGTGATGGATCTGCGGGTGTGCTGCGCCTGATTCGACGCTCTCTTGTGGTTCTGGTCGATGGAGGTATGCGGGTGGTGATGTCTGCTGGGATGTATGGGGGACCTTGGGATGGTGTAAGCCCGATAATAGTCGTATTGATGGTTGTTGCGTTCTGTATCATTGCGTCTCTGCGATGTTTGTTTGGTGGGTCGCTATTCTCAATGGCGCTCTCTGCGTCTTGGTTTGACTCACACCTAAGTAGCTTTGCCCAAGTCGGGTCCCTTCATTGCGGGGCTGCAGACTGTCTGCCCTCCACGATGTTTTATATAACAACATAATATTATATCTCTGTAACTTTCCCACCTTTGAATGATTGAAGGCAACTTGTTGGTGGGTGAGACAAACATGATCGAAAATGCATTTACTCAACGTCAGTGACACAAACCCTTTCTGATGGCGAATTATTACTCTTATCTTATAACTGCCTTTTTGGCTATATCTGCCGTTGTATTGGTTGGTGGAGCATATGTGTCGACCTCATGCGGGTGGTAGCTGGCGGGAGGATCTGAGGAGACTCTCAAGGCTGCGGCCGAAAGCCGCACAACGTGGGACCCCATTCCCTTGAGGTGAGCGGTAGACTCATGACACGCTCTGCGGCTAGTAGCCGTGCTGATCATGCAATTGGTGGTGATGCCATACACTTACATCACGTCTGCAGGAGCGGCGGTCTGGCAGGTGGTGGCGCTCACGGAGGGTTTACGGCCAGTGTGCCTATTTGCCTAAACCGTGTGACGTACATTCACTGTGGCTGGATTCGTTCGTATTCTGTTTGGCGTTTACACGCATTGACATGCGCGACTTCGGTCGATGTTTGTGCTTACGCACTAGCAAGGGGTCAAGCCTCTTTTGCTGGTTCGCCAGTTATTTTGCTGTGGACTACGGTCCAGTTCCCGAATTAGCTTTCCCTTCGGGGGGAGTGCATCAAAATGGTTGGCACTCACCGTGCATGGCGTGTGTGTACGTGATGGGGCCGTGTACCTCCCCTACATTTTTTTTAAATAAATGTAGGAGAGCGAAGCCCTTGTATCGGGTATTTTGTATAGATATATTTTGAGCCTTTTCCGAGCGGGAAGGGATAATTAATAATGTAAACCTGATGCAAGTGGAATAGGGACGTTTTATGTTCTTAACCTTTTTTCGAGCCCTGTCTTCGTGAACGGGGTTCACTTAGCTTATAAGGCACTACCAACAGCTTTCAGTTGCTCTAGTGAATATTCATTCTTCCAAAAGACACCTAAAAGAACTAAGTTACTAAACAAACACAACGTAAATAAGGGTCCTAACTAAGACGATCACGCCAAATTATTACAAACGGCCTATTATTAAACCTTTAGAAAGATCATTTAGAAAGATCAAAACATAATTTATTAATCCTGGTCACATATATATAATTTTTATCGAAAAGGGGTAAATTAATTATATCTAATATATTTATTATATGAGAGAGGGGGGAGATCGTTACAATTTGGTGCCGTGACCAGGATATATTTTAAAAAGAAGGTCGTCTGTATAAGAATTATGAAGTAGGCGTTATGCCTACAATTTGTTGTCCGTGAAATGGAGAGGTGTCTTGGAGGATGGTGTTTGCTGGGGGTGGTTGAGAGTCTGGGGGTGGGGCTTTAATATTAATATTTTTGTTTGTTATAGATGGTGTGCGCATAGAAATCTAAGACAAAATAAACTAATA